TAGAGCTGAGTATCATCAGCATAACAGTGAAAGCTAACACCATGTTTCCTGATGATATCTCCCAAGGGTAACATGTAAAGCGTGAAAAGTAATGGTCCTACTACTGAAACCCAACCTCTGAGAAATACTGAAGATTTTGCTATAAACTCTAGACACACTTCCCCCTTTACCTTTTAGACACGGCTCATGTTTATAACAGTAATCTTGGGGGAGGGGGGTAGACTCATTTAAAGTAATGTAATCATCTGGTTTTAGCCCTACTGAAACCCAACCTCTGAGAAATACTGAAGATTTTGCTATAAACTGTAGACACACTTCCCCCTTTACCTTTTAGACACGGCTCATGTTTATAACAGTAATCTTGGGAGAGGGGGGTAGACTCATTTAAAGTAATGTAATCACCTGGTTTTAGCCAGGTTTCTGTCAAACAGAGCACATCTAGTTTATGATCAGTGATCATTGTGATCAAAGGGATCTAATATTCAATAAACCAAGCTTTATCATTTGTTTATTACATCTGTTTTTTATTTGTTGAACATCAATTAAATTGTTACCCTTAAATTGGCTTGGACGTTTTTTTGTATTTGCTAGTTCGGGGAACAGACACAGTCTCTATAGTGTGATATCTAGGTGAAAGAGTCTCTATGTGCTGAGAATTAACTGATTTCTGTGACGTGAGGCGGCTAGCAGGCGGTCGGTTTAGCCAGTCTGTCTGCTTCCTGACCTGGGCCCCAGTTAGTCAAGTACAAACTCTAAGACTATGTGCCATATTTCTAGAGAGAAGAGCGGCACCAACCCCCGAGGAATGAAGAATCAAGGAATCAAGGCATTAATGTTTGCCTACAAAACCACCACTGGCTCTGCACCCCTCTACCTAAATTCATTACTTCAGACTTATGTGCCTCTAGAAGCTTGCGTTCTGCAAGTGAACGTCGCTTTATTGTTCATCCCAAAGAGCCACAAAATCACTTTCACAGACTTTTAAATTAGCTGTTCCCTCCTGGTGGGATGACCTGCCCAACTCAAGAATCGGCTAAAAACACATCTCTTCCATCTTTATTTGACCCTCTAACTCTAGCAATCTCTATTCTAATTCTATTCTTAAAAACAATTGCCCCTTTTAGACTTGCACTATATTCATTTACTAACTGCTAGTTTTCTTAAAAAAAAAACTAACACTAGCTTCTCTATTCTATCTATTCCTTTTCTTTTTATTTATTATACAATTAACAAAAGCAAAAAAGGCCTCTAACACTAGGTTGCTCTATTCTTTTTCTATTCTATCTGTTTTTTAAAATGTATTATATAATTAAAAAAACCTTGCTACGTGTACTGTCAAACTAACTGAGACTAGTTATAGCACTTGCGTAGCATTGCTCTTTTGTTGATTTTGATTGATTCTATTGTCCTCATTTGTAAGTCGCTTTGGATAAAAGCGTCTGCTAAATGACTAGATGTAAATGTAAATATCTCTGAATATCTTAGATACACCTGACATTTGTAACGCAAACCTTAGAATTAATCTCTCAGCTGGGGAACTTTGAGTCACAGAGGTAAAAATGAGCCTCTCTCACTGTTCCTTACTGTAAAACTGAGCTCTGGCTCGCATTGTTTTTTTTTTCATACTGTACACCATCTTGAAAATCACTTTTCTTTTGCCTTGAATGAGCATAACTGAGCTCATTTTTCCTTAGGAATGCACTTCTAACAGTTGAGTGCTGGATAATAAACGGGCTCATATATCCATATTCACCCATCAGGTGGTCATCATGAGGATTCTTTTGGAGCAGAGCAGCGGGACTGATCTAGTGTGCAGACATCATCAGGTAATTCTGTAATCGCCAAGCTAAATATAAACTATTTTAGCCTACATTGTGTAGGCCTCTAACACTAGCTTGCTCTATTCTTACTATATAATAAAAAAAAATAACTTGCTATGTGTACTACATTAAGCTAACTGAGACTTGTCATAGCACTTACATATCATTGCTCTTTTGTTGATTTTGATTGCTTCCATTGTCGCTTTGGATAAAAGCATCTGCTAAATGACTAAATGTAAATGTAAGACCATCTCTATTCAACAGGTCAGGTCTGCCCCAAAAACTCATCCAGTTGTCAATGAAACCTATGTTATTCTGTGGGCACCACTTAGACATCCAGCCATTGAGTGACGACAGTCTGCTATGTATCTCGTCACCACAGTAAGCAGGGAGGGGACCGAAGCATATTACAGTGTCTGACATCGTACTTGCAAGTTCACACACCTCTTTAATGTTATTTTTAGTGATCTCCGTGGTTCCACAAAGAACCATTCAGTCAAAGGTTCTTTAAAGAACCATCTCTTTCTGTAATCTGAAGAACCTTCTTTCGCCACAAAGAACCTTTTGTGAAACAGAAAGGTTCTTCAGATGTTAAAGGTTCTTTATGGAACCATTTAGACAAAAAGGTTCTTCTATGGCATCGTGAAGCACCTTTATTTTTAAGAGTGTAAGCAGGACGGGGACCAGAGCATATTACAGTGTCTGACATTGTACTTGCAAGTTATTAGATCAGAAAATATATTAAAGCTCTGTTCACACCAAGAACGATAACTATAAAGATAACGATATTAGCATCCACACCAGCGAACGACATCGTCTGTTTATTCTCAATGCATGCTCATCTGCTGCTTTAAATTCTTGTGCTCATGATAGCAGGATTGATTCTGATTTGGTGTCAATGTTTTTATCGTTCATCAGCTCGAAAAAATAGTTCTGAAAGTGATTCCAACGATATCGTCTCTCTGTGCCTTTATCGTTATAGTTGTGGTTTGGACTCTGTTATTCTTTAATATTGAGAACTTTTTTAAGTATATCTTTATTGTTATCTTTATAGTTATCGTTCTTGGTGTGAACGGGCCTTAAGAGATCATCAGCATATACAGTAGACTAACCAGTATTTCATTACCTCCAAACTTTATTCCATGAATATGGGGGTGACTTCTAATCCCTTCAGCCAATGGTTCAAGGCAATATCTAAAAGAAGGGGGGGAATGAAAATTACCCCATGGTTTACTCAACCTCAAGCCATTCTCGGTGTATATGACTTTTATTTCAGATGAATACAATCAGAGTTAAATTACAAAATGTCCTGGCTCTTCCAAGCTTTATAATGTCAGAGAATGGGGGTTGAGATTTGGAAACGAAATAAAGTGCAGCCATCCATCATAAAATGTACTCCACATGGCTCCAGGGGGTTAATAAAGGCCTTATGAAGCAAAACAATGCATTTGTGTAAGAAAAATATCCATATTTAAAACTTTATAGATAATATCTAGCTTCCACAAGTTTTAAATACGGATATTTTTCTTATACAAACATATCGATTCACTTCATAAGGCCCTCATTAACCCCCTAGAGCCGTGTGGAGCACTTTTTATGATTTACACACTTAATTGGACTTCAAAACCTCGATCTCCATTCTCTGTCATTATAAAGCTTGGAAGAGCCAGGACATTTGTAAATATAACTCTGATTGTATTCGTCTGAAAGAAGAAAGTCATACACAACTAGGATGGCTTTTTGGGTGAACTATCCCTTTAAGAATACAGAATAGAAAATACAGAATTTTTACCTACTAGCTTCCGAACTTAAAACGCTCAAATACCAAAAACATATTTGGTCAAAATGATTCAGCCTCTTTACCAGATCCCATTCATCCAGTGTCCATGTGGTATCCAAAACCAGTTAACATTGCATTTTGTTGTAACCTGTCTTCTATGAGCCACAAGGCAGAATTTAGGAAATGAAGTGATGGTAAAAAAAAAATGCATGGGTTTATTGAATAGCCTGTTTCAATACTTACTTTCAATAAATGTTCAGCACAAATTCAACAAAACGTTATTATACCCAAACAGAAGCAATGGAAAATTACTACTTTACAATAAATGATTACATTGTATGATTGATTAAATGATAAATTATTAAATTAATTATAAATTACAAAAACAGAAAATTGTTCTCTTGAAGGTTCAAAACACACATTAAAAATTCTTAGATCCTTTGAGTGTAAAATTATTTTAGAGCTTCCTGATTTTTCTTGATTTATATTTGTATATCACACTTATCTTCATCACTTTGTTTTGTGCAAACCACAATATAAACTTGCTAAATGCTGGAAATGAAACAAAAATCGCATTATGTGGGAACCCTTAAAATATTCCAAAAATTATACATATAGAAAAAGCACACTAAACGTCATTATTTTAAATACAAGTGTATTGTAAAAACGTACAGTAGCTACATGTCATTAGAAAATAAACCCAGAAAATACCCTGATTGACAAACCAGTAAAAACAAAAGAAAATGTACATCACCAGTCACAGTACAGAGCACAAATAAAATGCTTAAAGACCCCCTGTGCCAAATAAATCTAATTTTTAACCCTGTTTACATGTCTGTGTGATGCTTTTAATATGCTTAAAGACAAACCATGTGCACATTTAGCTTAATCTCCACTGCTGAACATTTTCTCCTTAAAACTGAGGTGTACCAAAGATACTCAAAAATGCGATTTGAGAACGCTGTTATACGTCACAAACATAAATAATCCCGTCAACGCTTTTGCAGTGTTGAGTAATGTAGCCAGTCATAGATATATCTGTTGATTTCTTGAACGCAATGGCCAATCAGAGGTGTTTAAGATGGCCAGAATGATGGAATTAGTGACTGCACATTGAGAAAAACATTAAAGTTGATCTTCAGTGGCAGTGTCCAATGATTTTGTTTTCCTAATGATTATCAAGGGTTGTTGGAAGTGTCATGGTTTGGCTTTCCAGCATTGAACAGTGTTCAAACTCCCCACAGCCAATCAGATGCGAAGATCTTTATTTACGGGCGGAGTCATAATTGGCCGCAAACCAATCACACGTCTCCTTGACGGCTGAAAAAAAGAAAAGTTTCAGTAAAAATTCTTGTTTTGGGTCACTACTTTTTACTACTATTAAAAACATGGCATAAATGCTGAATCTCTTGTGCTGATCACCTTGTTTGAACGGCGTGAACTTGAAGTCTGGCAGGTATTTGCGTAGTTTGGCATTATTAGCGGTTTTCTTGATCTGACCGTCTGATTTGCTAGTGTCATACTGAGAGAGCTTAGTTAAGGTTCATCTGTAAGTCTGTGTGAACGAATGCTTTGAGGTTTAGTTCATTCGTGGACTACTTTTATATTGCTTTTTGAAGCTTAAGAACAATCAGGAAATTCTACAGAATATCTCATCTTGTGTTGCACAGAAGACTCGTATCAACTGTAAAAATATCTGCAGACACTGTTTGTGTGTGAAAGGATACAATAACTTCCCCTTCAAACCCGAATGCTTCGGCCACAGCGTCCACAGCTTCCTTTACAGTCAACTCATCCTCCTCCCCAACTAGACAAAGAAACAAAGAAAAAGAGAAACATGATCTTGATATCTGATCAACCAATGAGCTCTGATGAAACAGACCCAACACGTGTGGTATCAAACACAGCTGGAGTACCTGACAGAATGATGGGCTCCACCTCGTCGTACTCTCTCAGAACCCACAGAAACAGACGAGCCAGATCCAGAGAATAGATGAACTGCCGCAGAGCGCGACCCGAACCCCAGACCTGCAGAGGTTTACCTTCCTCTACAACACAAACACACAACATTTACCCTGTGAACATGTGAGACGCTCTGAATGTGATTGTGAGCTAAACGTGTCTCACTCTTCGCCAGGTACGTCTTGTGGATCAACCCCGGCATCACGTGACCGTCCTCAATGTTGTAGTTGTCATGGGGTCCAAACATGTTGGTGGGGATGACGGCTGTGTATTTCAAACCATACTGCTGAAATAATGCCCTAATCGACAAACACACACAAGACAAGGTAAACAAATAAAATATTTATATTTCTAGTGTTTAAACATTTAAATTATTTATATTGCACATTTTTATTGTTTAATTATCAACTTTTTAGGAACTCACAAACCCACCGCAGTTCTTACATTAAGCCCAGGAAACCCTGGTGTAATACTTTTTAATGCATTTAATAAACAAATGCTTTTTTTATATCAAGATGGTATGTTAAATTTTAAATCAAACTTATTTTAAATTTACAAAAGTAATCTAAAAGTAGTCAGATTACATTACCTAAAACAAGTAACCTGGATTATGTTACAATTTTCAACACATAACCAGTAACAGACTACAATTTGTAAGTAATCTACCCAGCTCTGGTAACAAAGCACAAAGGTTATTGTGAATGTTTAATGAATGTTTAATCTAGGCATTAACTGCAAAAAAAAACCATTTAGCTTGCAAGCAAGTAATACACCTGAAGTACTTAATATGTAAAAATCATTCAACAATAATCATTTTCCAAATCCTGTTTGTGTATCAAATCTGTCCAGATGTCTGCTTTTGGCGGCATTTAGTGATTTAAATACTGCAGCAGGTGATGTATATGTATGCAAGTGCCCAAAACTTCCAGTTTGTTCACATATCTTTGTTTTGTCTTGCCAGAGGTGATTTAAATATTCATTGTTTGAAACAGATGGAAAATGACAGGCCTGTACTGCAGTTCTATGGATGTTTTGCCCTCCAGGGAAGTTATTATGAACGTAAACTATGAATTGTTAAACAACAAACAAACAATAAACCTAATGCCACTTGTCTTATTAAATATTCACATGCTTTGTACAATCACAGAAACTGTATGTGCTGTGTTCGGTTTGGGGGGGAGAAACTGAATACTAAAAACGCCATTGTTTTGGCTGAAAGCGAAAGAGCCAAAAATATATGCCTAAATTCAAAATAAAAATGTGACTTTACTTGAAAATGTGATCTGTTTAGCCTCGTACGTAACAGACAGCCTTGCGTCATATTGCTGAAACGGTCTCGACCAAACAATACAAGTACATGTAAGCTGCGTTTTTTGGTTAGTAGCTTCATCAAACATTAGTAAACCATAATAGATCACATAGATTTATTTACAGCAAGTGTTCTTTACTCAAACGAGCCCAAACATAACACCACGTCTAGATCTTGAGATAATCCTCATAGAGTTGCATTTTTTGCTCTAGGTAAACAGGACATCCAGGATCCGATAGCATGATGTTGCAATTCACCCAGCCCTGATCAGACATGAAAATATGTTGTGGCACTATCATGCAGTCAGTAATGATTTAATGTTAGCGATTTTTTTGCAAAAATTTCTTTGAGTAACACACTGTAAAAAATGACTGTGAATTTTACGGTACACGACTGTAAAAATGCTACAGTAAAAACCTGTTAAATGGTTAACGGTAAATTCCCCTACTATATACGGTGAAAAACTGTATTGGACATTACATGTATTGGACATTAATTTTACGGTAGTATACCGTTTTTGGAAGTGAAAAAGACCGTATAATTTACAGTGAATAACCGTAAATTGACATTCCCAGAATTCCCTGCATTACATTTCAAATTTGATGTTTTTTTGTTGAAATAATTATGTTTCTTCTTAGTTTTTTCTTATCAGTTTTGTATATTAGGGTTGTGTGTTACACCTAATGTTGTTAAATTAATGTTTATTGCATTATTTCAGTTTCATGTGTGTTACCATGATGGTGTTTAGTGTTTGTGTGAATGACACTGTGCACCTTCTATATATGTTATTATTTAAAAGCTGCTTGTGATGGGCTTTGGTTCATCATGTGACTTTCTCATCACCTCCTGCATTTGGTGGTTATCAGTGTATTACAAAGGTACAAAACAGATTTCAGTACTTCAATAAGGTTGGTATATTAACATTATATCAGTTAATGAAATTACGGTATTTAACTGTAAATTTAAGTTAAAACCGTAAAACCTAAAATGTTGCTACCGTATTTTTTACAGTGCATGACCGTAAATATGAAAACACAATTTAATTTAACATAAAACAAATGATTACCTTAAATTAAAATCTTTATTAATTCCAAAAATGCTTACATTTATGGGTATTTTTGTTCACTCGAGCAGCCATGTTGCCAGTGTAGCCGGTTTATGCTGAGATAATTCTCATATCCCTTCGTTTGAAGTGTGGTCCCCGAAAAAATCTTCGTTTGAAGGGCTATCTGGCCCTTTCCCCTCCACAGAGGTAGAAATGGGATTGGGCCTTAATGTTTGCATACTATAGTCTAATAGAAGTAAATAAACTTAAGGCTAAAAGCTACTTAAGAAAATTTATTTTAGTATAAAATGTGATTTTTATCTACTAGCAAGTTCATTATATTTAGTAGACTGAATAGAGTAAATTACATTGTGTCACTGGCAAATTGACTGCCAGTCACCGAGCAGGTAACCATTAACAAAGTTTATTGACCATTTAAATCCTTATCATCCAACATAATGCCAGTTAGGCTTTCCAAGTAGTGTAAATCAATATTTACATAGTATAACGATAGTAAATATATCTCTCTCACACTTGTCCCGCACTGTTAGCAAATCTATCACACCTACTGACCTGCAACAGAGCAGTAACCAGATGGTCAGCCTAGTACCTGATGTGCAAGATCAAGACAAGACTATTTAAACAGGTCGTGTGAATGTATAATGTGAAACCAAGAAACCTGAATACCTGGTATCACGGTCTGGCACCAACAGCCCAGATGTCAAACTACACCCATGCAGACAAAAGCATGACAGTATTTTCTTTTGAAATGTAATCCAGACATGTTTTCATGAGAAAAACAGCTCAAAACCAGTGACACTAAGAGAGCAGAACTGACCTGTTGTGGACGTCAATCATGCGTTTGGCGTAGGCATAACCGTAATTAGACTCATGCGGGGCACCGTTGTGCATCTGACACACAGAAAGGGAGAAACACAAGGGTATTTTACACAATTCATGCAAACAGGCTCATGAAACCAATCATACATCCACTTACTTCAGTTTCTCATATCATGCATTTTAAATAGCTATTAGGTCCAATTTTTAAATGACAATTCTTCACTCTCTCTCTGCTGTTTAGGGATGATTGTATCTATCTATTCCTCATAACCTCACTGTGATGTGAGTTTGTGAACAGCAAGCAAGCATTTTTGACATGTTAATGTGGGCGGTAATGTATCCTAATCAGTGTTGGGGAAAGTTACTTTTAACAGTAATGCATTACAATATTGCGTTACTCCCTAAAAAAGTAACTAATTGCATTACTTAGTTACTCTTTATGGAAAGTAATGTGTTGCGTTACTTTTTCGTTACTTTTTCTCTTCTGGGCTGGGCTAATTTTTTTGTTTTCAGCAATAAAAAAAGGAAGCACAAATGTTATGTTTATCGAAAAGTCATTTTTGCTTATTATTGTGGTTGAATTGGATCAGAGAAGGTCAGCAGCAAAGACACTGGTTAATAAAATGAGATTAAATACATAAAGGATATTTGTGTTATTTAACATATTTCATTATTGCAGGTTTGCATCATATTCTGAGTTTGCATTTCACGGTTTTTATTGATTTTGAGGAATACTGAATGTGTTTGTGTGCAGGTGAGATGCGTAAATGCATGTTGACATTTAGTCTAGAACTACAGTAAGATCATGTTCACACAAGCTCTGCACTCACTCCTGATTTCTCTCAACATGGGGACAGGAGAGCTGTCAGTCAATACATGGGAAAACAAAGTAACTGGCGTTACTTATTTGAAAAAGTAACTTACATATTCTCTTGTAAATTAAAAAGTAATGCGTTACTTTACCGGTTACTTGAAAAAGTAATTTGATGACGTAACTCCCGTTACTAGTAATGCGTTACCCCCCAACACTGATCCTAATGTTCTTTAGGACAAAAATGTTCATTTTTACAGCTTAGTTTCAATTAAATTAAGGAAATTTGAGATGAATGAATGGATTTCAAAAGATCAAGGAACATGACTCATGACTCGTGGTGTGAGCACTTTAAGGGAACAGTAAACACATACTGTCTGGAACATCTGCCATTTAGTGTGTGTGTGTGTGTGTGTGTGTGTGTGTGCTTTACC